GAATATTACATTCAGTTTTGGTCGCCATGATGTAAAAAAGATGTGGAGACTCTAGAAAGAGTGCAGAGAAGAGCATCAAAGATATATAGTGGATTGGAGACTAAAATTGAATATGACTAGTTTAATGGAAAGAAGACAGGGGGTGACATGATAGCAGTGTTCCAATTTCTAAGGGGCACCCACAAAAAAGATGGGATCAACCTTTTTTTCCAAACCACCACCACAGCACAACAAGGAGCAATGGGCAAGGAAACTAATCAAGAAGAGAACCAACGAAGAGAACTGTTTCCTGACAGTTAGAACAATTAATAAGTGAGATGAAATTCCTCCAGAAGTTGTGGATGCTCCAACACTGGAGGTTTTTAAGAAGAGATTGGACAAACATCAAGCACTGAGGGGGTTGGACTTGAAGTTAGGCCCTTCCAACTCTGTTAATCTGTTAATTTACAGCCTTTTGACTAAAGTGGGATAAGACTAATTCAAGGACATTGAATTTGACATTTTTTTAATGCTGTGGTTGCTTTTGTTGTATTGAAACTTCTACTTATTGTAGCAATTTGTTGCTGTATATATAAGCCACATTATGAAGAATTGAAAGGTATGACAAGAAAATTTACATAACGGTAAATTTTGTTTGTTCTGGTCAGTTTAAATTCTGAAGCTCCGTTTTGACTCTATGGTCCATGTGGCCTTGCAAAGCTAATTGGCAATTAGGTCTCTGGCAGCATTTCAAGGGAAATAAATATGAGTGCTTATCAGCCTTATCCCGAAAGACTTTGGCAGACTTATGGTGGACTCTTTACAAACTATTTGTGACCCATTACAGGCTGTGAATAAACATAATTCACAGCCGTTGAAATAAAAAGAGGGTTTGGGGGATTAAGTGTGTGCTTTGTACTGTCTCAGAAGCCAAGGTCAGAACACAGCCTTCCATCCTTCCAAGATCAGTAAAATCAGGACCAAGATTGTTGGAGGCAATATGCTGACTCTGCAAAATGCTTAGAGAGGGCTGTAAAGCACTGTGAAGCAGTATATAAGTCAAAGTGCTATCATACTCAGTCAACTACTGTTGTAACTTGAACAGTCAATGATCTACTGTATTTGAAAAACAATATCAATAAATGATATTTTTATCATTTCAATGAATTCTGGTCTTAACTGGAATACTTTGGAAGATTTTCAGATATGTTTTAGTATGTGGCAATCCTTGTCACCTTAAATGATCCTGTTGTGCTGAGTAATGTGTTGTGTATCATTCTCAAAAGAAAAATCACTTTTACCCAATTCTGGATAATTTACCCAGAGTTGGGAAACACTGAAGAATTTCGCACATGTAAGTTGGCTGTGTTCAAAATAAAACAGATATAAAAAAATATATCCAAAATAATACTTTGGCAAAGGAAAAGAAGAATACAATTATATTTCTTGCTTCTGTGTAGCAACAGAAACTCCAAAAAATCTTTATCTCCAAAGAATATGCAAAAAAATAATAATTGCAAAACCACATGATGGTATTAAACTGAGATTAGAGTAAAGTAAGAAATCTTCTGTAATGTTCAAGTTGTTTTCATTCTCAGCACGTTTCTTGAATCAAGTAATGCATTGCAGATGCATTTTTAAATCAAACATGGTGCAGTAGGTTTTTTGAGCGCAGGTATATCTTGATTAAGAAAAAAGCACTAATACAAGTAAACAATGCATTATTCCTAGCATCTTGAGTTACACACAGTTAAGTATAATCTTGCTTCAGGGAGGATGATTAATCACAGGAGATATACTTGTGTGTGAGAGAGAGTGTGTATGTGTGTGTATATATACACATACATACATACATACATACATACATACATACATACATACATACATACATACATACATATTGAGGAAAACCTATGAACATTGTAGAGATAACCATCACACATGAATTAGAGCTTCTGATTTTGGATAAGGCACATGTAACAATTCTTCTTCTTAAAAAAAATTAGAAAAAGAAATATATAGTTTAAATGTATTTTTAAATTATTTTGTATGTTCAGTTATATATTTTAATAGAAATAGAACTCCAACAATACTAAAGAATAACCTTCAAGAATGACTTGAGATCTATTGTTGTTCTACATGCACAGAATCTCCATACAGAGAAATATTATTATTATTATCATTATTATTATTTAGTACATTTACACATGCTGTCCATCTCATTGTCAGGCGATGAGCAGCAAGACTGATCTACTCGTTCTAATTGTAATTTATGCATGGCTACTTTTTGTTTGGTTGCTTTTGATATTGTTTGGGGGTTTTTTTTCATAATGAATTGTGAACTGTTGGTAATTTGTATGCTATCCTTTAACTATGACAGCTATACTTGACAGCTAACATTTTAGATTTCCCTATATGCAGACATCTGGATTCTTGGAAACTGTGACTTTCCAAATGGAAACTTTCCAGAAATGTAATTTCTAAATCAGAAGGATGTCTCAAAGGAGTATTAGATGGCTCCTTATGCAACTCCATTTGCTGTTGAACCCTGCAATGTCTGCAAGAGTGCTCAATCATAATTTGCCAAAAAGAATAATCCAAGGGATTCTTCAAGGAAGATGATTCATTCATCCTGTTAAAACCTGTCAGTTTAACTTCAGCTTCCAATCTTTTCCTGAATTGAGTAATTCATTGGCAAAGAAAGGAGACATCTGATTATAGCTGGATATCTGCTTCCTTTTGGCCTGATAAAATTAGATATGGACAATACTGAGAAGTACCATACAATATAGCTGTATGGTATAATATTGCTTCCAACAATAATTTTACCAACCTCAGAAGAATGGAAGGCTGAGTCAATCTTGAGCTGGTCAGAATCAAACTTCTGGCAGTGAGCAGAATTAGCCTGCAATACTGCATTCTAACCACTAATCAAATATCTACTGAGAGTTGCCCTGGTGATATAGAAATTGTTTCTTAAACAGTATACTTGAAGACATTCTTTTAATTGATTCCCCAAGATAGCTAAGGACAGGGGTTTTGTTGGTTTTACTAGCTAAACAAGTATCATACCGAATTATAAAGAAGACATTGATACACACTCCTCGGCTGACGTGTTGAAATATAAAACATATATTTTAAGTGGATAATTATTGAAAGTTGTACTATGTTTTTTCTCAACATACCTTTGTGAAAATGCATTTTGAACACAAACAGCAATTTTTTTTAGATATTATGACAATTCAAAGACCTTGAATAAACCTTACTTCAGACACACCATCATATGTAAACAAGTTAATTGATTATGTGTCATCAAGTTAGTATGGACTCTTAATAAAGAGATATAGGGTTTTTTCCCATGAGCATCTGGTCCCAACTTAGTCCATCAGGTACATATATGACTGAAATTAAGTCCATCCATCTTGCTACCCTATCAACCCACAGGTTTCATAGGTCTTAGTCCTGGTTTTATTCCCAAGGTGAAAGCATCAGGGATTCACCTAATCCTTTTTTTCAAGTAAAGTATGTTCCTGATTTATTGCTATCTCCTAAATGTACAGTAGCCATCCTTTAGAGCCTTTGAAGCATACTAGTCAAAGTTTCCTCTCTGGAAAGTGGAGAAATTATGGTTTAAACACCCTCTTAACATTGAGGTTGATAGTATTGTTTGGTCTTCTAAATCTATTACCTTTGGTTTTCTAAATCTACTATAATATCTTAGTGTTTTCCAGAGGAACAATGTGTTGACAGTGAACATTGAACAAGGGTGCTTTTACATTATTTTTTGCCAATGGCTTCAAATTCTTTCTCTGTATACACATGGGTTTCAATTTGTCCCTTTCAGTTTTTCTGAAGCAATTACCTTTTCTACCTTGTGAATACACCAATGCATACCTATCTGTAGCTCAGAACTACCTGTCATTTTAGTATCTTTTTAAACTATTTCCGTATATCCTGGATTTCTTCCTGGATTATAAAATATGAGAGGGGGGGAGGGGGAGAGGGAGAGAAAAGGGGAAAGAGAAAAAGAGAGAGAAAATGAATGAATGAACATTATGTGGGGAACTTGGGTTGTAAGCTTCCATTGATAAGTGGAAACCTGTACCAGATATTTTCAGATTCTAGTTTAACACAGGTTTAACACAGCACCATAATGCCTTTAATCTTTTTTCACCATTATATTACCGTGTACATAAACAAAAGTCTCTGTTTTGGTTTCCATAGACCCTTTATTTTCCTTCCTTCCTTCCTTCCTTCCTTCCTTCCTTCCTTCCTTCCTTCCTTCCTTCCTTCCTTCCTTCCTTCTCATGAATAAAAAGAAATACAAGCTAAGCTTCAGGCAATTAGCAATAACTGGATATAACAAAAATTATCAGAATGATTTATGACAGATTTTAGTTAAATCTGAATTTGTAGCAAATTTTGGGTGTGCACGGTATGTGTGTGTTTATGTGTGTGTGTCTGTGTGTGTTTGTTTGCACAGGCATATCGATATATAATTTTGTTAAATCATGTCCAATTCTCAGCGATTACCTGGGCATATCCCTGCTGTTTCCTTAGCAATGTTTTGCAGAAGTGGTTTGCCAATGCCTCCTTTCCTAGGGAAAATGATGGATCAACGTCATTAGGCTGGCTTTGTGCCCAAGGCATCAGGCCTCCTGGCTTTTGCCTGATGCCTTCATCACCACATTAAATTGCCTCTTCTAGGTGTTATGCTTACTCTGAAACCGACCACCGTCTAAACTGTTGATTCACCACATGCAATTAAATAAATAGCTATGTTTTTTAAGTTACATAGAGAGATAAAAAATATAAGATATAAATATAAAGATATAAATCTATGATCTTTGTGCCTCCCCATTACAAAGATGGTCTAAAGAAGTTGATATTGGTTTTGCTTACTGGCTCAGATCAACTATGTTTATCTTTTGCAGGGTTGTATAAAAGTCAAGAAGCCCGTTTAATGCTCCATATATATCTCATTAAAGCACCATACCAAACTTCTGCGAACAAACTGAAAGACGACAAATGGGCAATGGATGGCTTTGTGAGTATACTTCTGGCAAAGTCCAATGTGTCTTAATAAAAAAAAATAGTGATGACTTGTTCATGAGACCAGAAAGAAGTCATTTTTTTTAAAAAAAATGAAAGTTTAATTAGGAATGTTGAAAAATAGGCTTGCACAGCCACTTGCTGACAAGACAAGAACAAATGTTGGTATTATAGGTTAGTGGCATTCTTAAAGGTCATGGGAAATGCCATTGATTGGATTCAAAGGTAGACTAGCATGCAAGAAATACATCAGCAAACATTATGGATGACTATTTTCTTTCTTGCCAATACATTTGTATTAGAAAATCATGTCCTTACATATTCATAGAACAGATACACATAGAATGGGTACACTATGGTGCATTTCTACATCATGGTATGCCTGTTTTATACTTATTAGGATGCAGTGCAACATTGATTAATGAGAAAAGATGCAACATAACATTACAATTAGAAAATGGGAATAATACCCTAGATTTTCTTTCAAGTATCTATGTCCATCAGTCAGTGTAGTACTGTATCAGTGATTAGTACTTTGCAAAATAGAAACCCTGATAAGTGTGCTTTGTTTCTCTAGCAAAGTATACAGTACTATTGCTTTCTACGTTGCTTATAATGCTAAAATTGTAGTAGTTAGTAGAGCAAATAGATTATATTTTTATGTGATCATGTAGAAGCCCTACATTTCTTTAAGCTTTGTAATTGACAAAATTACATTACATCAACATGCAGTGTTATTTATAACTACCGTACATTGTAGTGCAATACAATAGATTTTAATAGATTAAAGCAGCAATATTGCAAAGACAAACTAAAGTGTGATGTGATAAATTTCGCATTGGTAACATAATTCAAAATATATTTATTGGTTTGATTTCAGTAAAATCTATTAATAGTTTTAAAACTTTTAAAAGCTCTTAAAACAAGAAAGAATTTAAAACATTGATTAAAAAAATAGGCTAAACTAAGCACTGAATTTCAGTGACAAATGCCTGGGGACAGATTCTCATCTTTGAAGTTTTCTCAACATTGCAAGAGTGGAGGCTATAAGGCCTTCCAAAAGGGTGAAGCAATACAGAAGAACAATGCTAGAACAATATATTTCTGACTGGAGGGGCATCTTAAATCAAATCAAAGCTGCATTTTATTTATGGTGAAGACCAAAGAGGAATCTTAAAACATTTTTAAAAGTCTAGGTGGCAATATCTATCTGAATTGACTGTTCCATATAAAAAAATTGGCTAGCACTTAGAAAAGAAACACCAAGGAATAGCGGGGGAAGTAAATACTAATGGCAATCACATTCATACTGTCTTTAAAGCTGTCATTAATCAAAGTCAACTAAAAATAGTCTTTGCTACTACTGAAACCTAAGATTATTTATTAGATGTTGAAGTTAGCTATTCTGTGAAACATAAAAACAGACAAATGATTTTTTCCTCTAATTGCTTTATACATGATTTTAGATACTAATAAAATTATAAGACATTTAAGGCCAGATAAGACAAGACAACAACCAAAGATTTTAAAAATTCCTTGGCTCTACTACCAAGTATAGTGGATTTTTCCTTTTTTCTTTCTTTTCCATATTCTTCAAGTATTTTTAATACAACTACTCTTGATCTTCAGTTACTATTTCCCTATTTTATCTTTTTGCTTTTTTATACTGTTTTTAATTTTTTTGAGCATCTTTTAAAATAAAATAAATAAATGCAACTGCTTCCAAATCATCATGGAGAAAACCTATCAATGTGATAGTTAAGAGTTGACAATGACTTGATGACGTATAATTAACTGTTCATTTCCAGATCAAAGGAATCTAATATCATTAACAATAACAAAATGTATAAGTAACTGAATGTGGAAAGTGTTTTTCCCCAGATTGAATCTATTAAGCTTTTCAAGTTGCTACTGTGAACATGCATACACATATTAATTTTACATACCTTTCTTTTTATTATTCTATATAGGTTTCTGCAGAACCTGATGGTGCAACCTATGTTTTTCAAGGATTTATTCAGGGTAAAGATTATGGTCAGTTTGGACTTCAAAGATTAGGTAAGATGATGCTTTTAATTTAGACATGGTCAAATATTTTGCAGTCATTTGAAATCAACAAAGATGGGTCTTCATCCACTGATAAAATTCTGGAAGGCAATCTACATGTGTATTTTTTACTTAATGTGGAGATTTTTAGAGATTGGGAAGAGTAACGCTACGTCTCTTCCCTTAATAACTGACTCCATTTGAATTATGAATGACATTTTAGATAGACTCGCTGATACTATTTCAAGAAAAGCTAATTACAGTCATAAACTGGAAACTGAAAGTATCTACATATGACACTTCTTCCCGTAGCCAAATTTTACTAAATTAATTTTAAGTTTAGACTCCAAAATATTTTGAAAATGGGTTGGTATTGTCATCAAAGGTGCATTAGAAAGTATATGATCTGAGGTAATCACAGCCAACTCAAGTTATCATCAAAATAAAGAAATGTGCATTGTGATGTCATAATACCAAAGAAGTTGAGTTTGTATGGTGATGTTAAAATGGACGTTTTGTTTCTTTCCCTCTTGCCAATACTCCCTTAATGGGCAACTTAGTTAGATTAGATGATGGTCAGTTATCTGTATTTAACCAAAGTTCTGCTGATGGGAATGTATTTCCAGCATTTGGTATTTATATACACTGAGACTATAAACTATGAATAGTCTCAAATATTAATTAAATGCATAATTCAGTAAGGTACAGTATTTTACTTCATCCTAGTTATGTACTATGGAAATTTTCTTAGATTCTTCCCTCCCAGCAATTTCCATTGTACATTGTGCAATCTTGTTGAAATATTATACTTATTTCTGTGGCTTAATTACAATTTTTCTGTTGAAAATTTCATTGTGAACCAATTTCATTGTATTTAAGTACAATGACAAAAAAAGATTATACTTATACAGCAGACATCTAATCCCTTCCAAATTGTTGTAGAAAGTTTGTGTTCGAGAGAAAGATCATTTCTGTTGGATGGATGGATGGATGGATGAATGGATAGGTAGAGATAGATAGATAGATAGATAGATAGATAGATAGATAGATAGATAGATAGATAGATAGATAGATAGATAGGTAGATAATNTTTTTTTTTAATGTTCTAATCTCATTTTAACTAGTATTTGTCAGTGTTCCATGTAACACCCCTAATGACACAATTAACACTGTGGAAAATGGGAGCAGGCTTGAAGGCCCAATTTAAAAGATGGCTTCCAGATCTGACAGTGTTATTGTAGCTCTAATGTTGTTTAATGTTTTTTTTTTTAATATTTAGACTTTATTTTTATTTTGCAGTTCCTGATGATGTGTTTGCTCAGAATTACATATGGAAAGGATCCTACAATTATAAAGGCAAAAAGCAGCCAATGACCTTGACTGTTACTCATTTCAATGCATCATCTGGAAGAGTGAATGCGACCCTTACTAATAGCAATATGGAGTTGTTGCTTTCAGGTAGGAACAACAATTATAAATCGCTATGTTTAATTCTCTTAACATGTCTACCAGCAGCCTGATACCCATTTCATGGAAATGATGATCATTGTAAAGCCCTTCACAGTTTTAGTGTTGGATATTTTCAAGACAAACTTATTCAAGTAGAATCTTACCACCCCATGTAATTTCGTGGAGTGATTGTGCTTGACACCCACACTGAAAGTGATCAGCACTCAACACATTCAAATGTCTCTCCTAAAACAGTTTCACAAAATGGTAAACACAGGCCTCTTCAGGAAAGTGCTTGGATCTGTCTGATGGTAGTAGCAGTTTTAATTGTAGTTTAATGAAGATTTGTTGATATTGGTCCTACAAATATTTTGCATTTTTTCTGTTGTGTTATTCTAAAAAAAAATAGTGAAGTGACACACATATATTTAAGAATGTAGTATGTCTTACTCATTTTATTTCTTGTTCTCCTTTATGCATAGAAGCCATCTGCATAGCATTAAGCCTGCGACTTTCTTTGAACCCTAAACTGGGAAGTCAATAAAATATCTAGATCTGCACAATAGACTATGACCCATAACCTTCAAGAAAGAGGCTTTTTATGATGAGTGAATTGATTCAGAATAATAGTAACCACAACCTCCAATCAATGTCAACCACTCTGACATTTCCTGTTTCATTGGAGCTCTTATTACTTATGAGGTTTAGATCTGAGTTTTGCAGAAATTCTTATGTTGAAATGTCTTATTGAAGGGTGCTTATTTCTGAATTGACATGTTTAGAATTGCACTGCTAAATGTGCTGATCACAGGATTATATAATATATTTTATTCCAAACAGTACTACCATTTAATGGCTATTGAACAAATAGACATATGAACGCACACTTGACTACTTAGAAAAGATTGATTTGAACAATTACTTCAAATTTTTTGTTCTTATATAAAAACAGAAAGCACAGTTTGGTATATTAGAGTATTTAATGGTCTGTAATTTCCGGCATCAAACTATATTGTAGAGTACATTAGATAATGATTCTGTGGAAAACATTAAACAAAGTGAAGTCAAATGAGTTCTCAAAGATTCGGGATGGCTGCTTGTGAATGGATATTTGCATTCACGCATGGACAATCCATCCACATAATAGCTGGTCAAGTAAGCATATAGGAAAACTCTAGGGGTTTCAAAACAGCATCTCAACCCTTTGATAGGCTGCAGATATTTTGTGACCTAAGAGAATAGATCTATTTTCGATCCTCAAATGATTCCACAGGCCTATTAAATGAAGACCAACCTTTTTGTCATTAATGTGTATGTGGGAAAAAAAAGCATTTGAAAAAATATGTGAATAATGATGGCTTTGAAGGACAGAGAGAAGGTTCACTACCATGATCAAGTAAACAAAACTTGACAATAGACCAAGAAATGAGGAGTCCTTGGTGCTCTCTAAGCTTGCTTGTTTTGTTTTGTGGTTGTCGTTGTTTTGCAGATATTTCATTATCCAAATGAGATAACATCATCAGTGTGAGTAGGGAGTATGATTTGCTCTCAGTTTATATTCAAGTGGCTTGCCCTGTCAGTGTTGGTGGGAGTGATCTTGGTGTTATTTTGGTTAGGTTATTTACTATTAACTTGTTTGGCAGTTCCTTAATTGGGATATAGTTACTTCTTGATTGTTGGTCTGATGTTAATCTTGCTGTTAACCTCTGTTCATCTGGATATTGATTGCTGATGAGGAGGTGTTTTGTATTTTTTTCCATTGGCTTATTGTCTCTCTTGAATTGTATGTAGATATTGTTTATGTCTATGTGCCTATTGATGGCCAATTTTTCAGATTGCAAGTCTTTCAGGAATTCACTAGCATTTTTGGACTTGGCTTGGTCTAGGATAGTCACAGTTGAAACTATGATTTAAATATGTCCATGTGTTGTGAAATTAAAGAGTTTTCATCATGTTTTCTAACTGGTAGTTGGTGTTCATGAATGCATTCTGCCTGTTTCTCCTACAAACCAAGAACGTAGTGTGTAAAAAAAAAGGGCTTAGATAGCTATATCTCCTTCCCAAGTCTCATGACATTGAGGAGAAAAGAGAGAAGTTAGGAAGCATATTCAGACTCCCAAGATTCTGTTACTATAGTTGTTCTAATAAAAGTACCTTTAGGGCTGCAACAACTTAAGATCTTCTTGACAAACTGAAAATGGGTATGGAAACTTAAATGTTTTTCCTACTTTTTAAAAAACCCAAATGGGAAAGAGCTAAGAAAATCATATAAATTTGCCAAAATTAGATAACTTACCATGGAATTAAAGAGCAGGCAATGTTGCAAGATTTCTTTAAAAGAAATCTAGCAGGGACCAGGAAATTATAGATCCATTAGTCTAATTCTTGCACTCTAACTTGTCCAAATAAATTGGCAGAAAGCAAGATTAATTTAAAATTATTATAAAGAACAAACCCTGTGGGGGGAAAAACTACCATGTCTTCTATGAAGGAAAATAATGTGGCAACATTCTTGGAATATTAATAAATATGTGGATAGGATATTCTAAGTAGATATTATACATGGGATTGTCACTAACTAGATTAATGGTAGATTGATGATGTCTTCATCAGACATTCACAATTTATTCCATTCACTTGGAATATTACATTCAGTTTTGGTCGCCATGATGTAAAAAAGATGTGGAGACTCTAGAAAGAGTGCAGAGAAGAGCATCTGAATATTACATTCAGTTTTGGTCGCCATGATGTAAAAAAGATGTGGAGACTCTAGAAAGAGTGCAGAGAAGAGCATCAAAGATATATAGTGGATTGGAGACTAAAATTGAATATGACTAGTTTAATGGAAAGAAGACAGGGGGTGACATGATAGCAGTGTTCCAATTTCTAAGGGGCACCCACAAAAAAGATGGGATCAACCTTTTTTTCCAAACCACCACCACAGCACAACAAGGAGCAATGGGCAAGGAAACTAATCAAGAAGAGAACCAACGAAGAGAACTGTTTCCTGACAGTTAGAACAATTAATAAGTGAGATGAAATTCCTCCAGAAGTTGTGGATGCTCCAACACTGGAGGTTTTTAAGAAGAGATTGGACAAACATCAAGCACTGAGGGGGTTGGACTTGAAGTTAGGCCCTTCCAACTCTGTTAATCTGTTAATTTACAGCCTTTTGACTAAAGTGGGATAAGACTAATTCAAGGACATTGAATTTGACATTTTTTTAATGCTGTGGTTGCTTTTGTTGTATTGAAACTTCTACTTATTGTAGCAATTTGTTGCTGTATATATAAGCCACATTATGAAGAATTGAAAGGTATGACAAGAAAATTTACATAACGGTAAATTTTGTTTGTTCTGGTCAGTTTAAATTCTGAAGCTCCGTTTTGACTCTATGGTCCATGTGGCCTTGCAAAGCTAATTGGCAATTAGGTCTCTGGCAGCATTTCAAGGGAAATAAATATGAGTGCTTATCAGCCTTATCCCGAAAGACTTTGGCAGACTTATGGTGGACTCTTTACAAACTATTTGTGACCCATTACAGGCTGTGAATAAACATAATTCACAGCCGTTGAAATAAAAAGAGGGTTTGGGGGATTAAGTGTGTGCTTTGTACTGTCTCAGAAGCCAAGGTCAGAACACAGCCTTCCATCCTTCCAAGATCAGTAAAATCAGGACCAAGATTGTTGGAGGCAATATGCTGACTCTGCAAAATGCTTAGAGAGGGCTGTAAAGCACTGTGAAGCAGTATATAAGTCAAAGTGCTATCATACTCAGTCAACTACTGTTGTAACTTGAACAGTCAATGATCTACTGTATTTGAAAAACAATATCAATAAATGATATTTTTATCATTTCAATGAATTCTGGTCTTAACTGGAATACTTTGGAAGATTTTCAGATATGTTTTAGTATGTGGCAATCCTTGTCACCTTAAATGATCCTGTTGTGCTGAGTAATGTGTTGTGTATCATTCTCAAAAGAAAAATCACTTTTACCCAATTCTGGATAATTTACCCAGAGTTGGGAAACACTGAAGAATTTCGCACATGTAAGTTGGCTGTGTTCAAAATAAAACAGATATAAAAAAATATATCCAAAATAATACTTTGGCAAAGGAAAAGAAGAATACAATTATATTTCTTGCTTCTGTGTAGCAACAGAAACTCCAAAAAATCTTTATCTCCAAAGAATATGCAAAAAAATAATAATTGCAAAACCACATGATGGTATTAAACTGAGATTAGAGTAAAGTAAGAAATCTTCTGTAATGTTCAAGTTGTTTTCATTCTCAGCACGTTTCTTGAATCAAGTAATGCATTGCAGATGCATTTTTAAATCAAACATGGTGCAGTAGGTTTTTTGAGCGCAGGTATATCTTGATTAAGAAAAAAGCACTAATACAAGTAAACAATGCATTATTCCTAGCATCTTGAGTTACACACAGTTAAGTATAATCTTGCTTCAGGGAGGATGATTAATCACAGGAGATATACTTGTGTGTGAGAGAGAGTGTGTATGTGTGTGTATATATACACATACATACATACATACATACATACATACATACATACATACATACATACATACATACATATTGAGGAAAACCTATGAACATTGTAGAGATAACCATCACACATGAATTAGAGCTTCTGATTTTGGATAAGGCACATGTAACAATTCNACAGGTCAAATTGTTTGCCATTTTCCCTTCTAAAGACGAAAAAAGAAAACTTTTTAATATGATATAGTGGTAGCCCAGATTTTTCTGTATCTGATTCAGCACCTATAAACATAAATGGTAAAGTCTAGGTGTATGCTTTCGTTTATCCAAACATAATGTTTTTTTTTATTAGTCTTTTTAAGGAGAACTCTGGGAGCAATTCTGAAATTTATGTGATGTGCTTTACTCTACGTGCATGTCTGCTTACCTTTTCTTCCAAATTCCTAAGTACTAATAAAATATAATTGCCTGCATCCATAAGCATATAAAAAACAGGAGAAATGGGTAAAAGAAAATATTAAGCTGTAATTATTAGAGTCAATTTCTGTACAGTGGCACGTTTTCCCCTTCTTAATTGAACACTTGTATTGCTAAGTGTACTTATTCCTCAGGCACTAGAATCCCATTTAGCACAAACTGAATGGTCTTCCAAGAAGAATTTGTTATCTTGGCAGTAATCTTCCCTCCCTTTCGGCGTGAGCATTTTTAAGTGTTACCCAGCCCACTTTATAACAGATTTAAAAAGCAAACACAATCTGCATCTACATCATTTATTTTTGCCTGTGTTTACCTTGATTGGTCTATAACTGACTTCACCATGGAATTCTCCTGTTCAGAGGAGATCTGCAACTTAGGCATTGTTTTAGATTCAAAGTTTCTGCTCTAGAAGCAGATAATATCTGTGGTCAGGAGGCCTATGTGCAGTTACAACTTGTTTTCTAGTTGCAATGGTTCCTGGATTGGAAAGTCCTACGTACACTTGTCTGCTAACTGTAGTGATTTGGATTGGAAAGTCCTATTCAATAGGACTGCTATTGTCACCTTCCATTTGAATTACTGTAATACAACAGGTGTCAAACTCAATCTCATCACACAACATATCATAACATTTTTTGCCTTTGTGGAGCCAGGGTGGACGTGGCCTGAGCATGACACATCTGGCCCATGGGCCGCCAATTTGACCAGCCTATGTGACAAATGGGGACACTCTTAACAAGCATTTGGCAGTACAACTGGTACAAAATTCAGCAAAGTGGACAGTGATGGATGCATACTTGGGTGACCCTATTGTTTTGGGAACGGCATTGGTTGCCAGTTGACTACTACATGCAATTAAAGTTGTTGGTTGTGACCATTAAAGACTTATATGGCTGTGGATCATATTCACCAATATTTGTCTCCCCATTTAAGCAGTTTCCTTATCTGATCGGGAAACTCTCACTTCTCTGTTTGAGAATGCCGTCTAATGAGAGCTAGGAAAAGGGTACTTTTAAATGGCATTCCTATGATTTGAAATTCTTTCCTTATTCCCTTCTGAGTTTTGCGAAAGCAGTTAAGACCTAGCATTTCCATTTAGCCCAGGAGGAAGGCATTTTTTGAATGGAGAAGAGCCTGGTGGACGCATGACCCATGGGGTTTTCTTCTTTTGTTGCTTGTAAGGTTGTTTGGATTTCTTTTCCCTGGGTACATGTATTCATTTTTGGAAAGGTTCTTTTTTATGATATTTTTAAATGTTAGTCATATTTCCATCAAATGGAATCAGACAGCATAAACCGTGTACATAAATGAATAAATAAATGGTTAGACACTCAACATGTGAAAGACAAATGGATCTGTGAAGTTGTAAAATTATGAAAAAATTTGAAAAGACAAAAGAATGCATGAACTGATTGGACTTCATTGAATTGCCCTTGTAGGAAGAGAAAGTATGTGGAATTATTTACACTTTTGAAGGATCGTTTATTTGAAACAAGATAGAGTCAATGTGAGCATGTCAAACTCACATCATCACGGGGGCGTCATATGACATATTGGGACTTTGCTAAACTGGCTGTGAGTGTGGGCAGTTCATGATGCATCTGCCCCATGAGCTGGGAGTTTGACAGCCCTGAGGTAGTAGAAAGATTTTTATAGAAAGAAATGCAAGAAAGATTCTTTAATCACAACTTAGGCAAATTAATCACAACTTTGTGATCTAGCCAGTTGTGTTTAATTTGTGCAAGCAATTGACTGTTTTCTTCCTGCAAGGCATAATTCTGGGGCCTGGCTAGGATAGTCAGTATAGAACAGTGATGGCGAATCTTTTCAGCACCGAGTGCCCAAACTGGAATATGCGGGCGTGCACCGGAGCCGCCGAAACTCAAAGACCAGCTGGCCAGTGCACATGCACCTGTTCTTCTGCTTTCCAGCACACACATGTATGCTGACCAGCTGATATTCACACATGCCAGAGACCTGAAAACATGAAGACCAGCTGGCTGGCACTTATGCACTCCCCGGAACCCAGAAGAGCAGCTGGCGAAGGCACATGTGCCAACAGAGTGGGCTCTGCATGCTACCTCTGGGATGTGTGCCATAGGTTTGCTATCACATAATAGAGGATGATTACACAATCCAATTGCATATTTCATACCAGAAAGTGGCAGCGCTTTGATTGTATAGTCATAGACAGTAGTTTGACTTTCTGACCACCCTGATGTTGATTATATATATTCATTTCAAACAGATAAGTAAGTATAATCTTTATTGTCAATGTACAATGAAATTGGTTGCATCTCTTTTGTTAGGGAAGCGGTTCAACTGGGAGTAATTACCCTTTTAATAGATTGCAAAAGAATCTGCCCTTATAAGTGTGGAACCAGAAACAAATTAAGCACTGAAGCCAGTCTCCTGCACCTGGCGTTGGGCATGGGGAACCTCACCAAATAGAAGCAGATGAATAATTATCTTCATAACTTATTTTTTCCCTAATTTAGATAATAACCCTGGACATAAATATGATTTGATATAATCCCAGTGCTGTTTCAAACCTACTTGGGTGGAAAGCAACCAAATATTTTGGTTCCTTTTAACCAGGACAATTTTATCTGAAGCCAAAAGCAGAGAGTACTTAACTTCACATTTTGATTATCATCTAGAAAGAGCAGGAACTCACATCTCAAATATATGGGTGATTCACTTTGTTAAGTTTGCAAAATAATTGGAAATTGTGGGGCATTATAGAACAATAAACAAATTGTGCATTTGTAAAACGTACTTGTATATAAATATTTATAAATATTTGGAATACATATTTTCCCATAACAGTAGTAAAAGAAATATTGTTTATCCTTATGTTTGGTTTTGTTTTGCCAGGACTTAATATGTCTAAAGGATCAAATTCATTAAATCAATCACATGGTACAAACAGCAGTTCTGTGGCCATTGCTATTCTCGTGCCTTTTTTCGCCCTTATTTTAGCAGGCTTTGGATTTTACCTTTATAAACAAAGGTAGGTGGAATATACATCTATTTTGTATGCAAAGCGATATATGATATATATGATGTGTGTGCATCTATGTATGTGCGTGTGTGTTTATGGAGAGAAAGAGAGAGAGACAGAGAGAGGGAGGGAGGGAGGGAGGGAGGGAGAGAGTTTTTTTTAAGTGTCATCTGAACAAATCAGAGATTAAAATTTAGCTTCTGAAATTCTCCCATTTCTTTGTACTTTATGCCTAGGTTTACATACTTTAGTAATTCCTAGGGTTACATACTTGAGTAAACTCAGGAACACCACTATTATTTACATTGTTTATCTTCACAATTGTTCAGGCACTTTTCAATGGTCATTGATTATAGAATCTAGGCTGTATGGATAATGTTTTTTTGTTCGGCTTTTTTTTGGGGGGGGGGACCTAATTATGAAATCCCGTTAGGTTCATCCAGGCTTCCAATTTACCAATCTACCTATATCTCTAAAAAGGCATTCAGGGAAACAACCTATTTGCATTAAAATAATATATAATTAAATCAAAATTTGCATTGCATATAGGAACACAGCTACTTATATACAGAATACAGAACTTCATACATCCCAAAAAGTATTTATGATGTACAGTACCTCTTCCTTTTCAAGTACTGATCAAAAATATACATAAAAGTAAGGGAATAAAAATCATATATTTCAAATTGTTCTGAATAAAAAGCAAATTGTAATTAGCACAGCAATCATGAAATAACAATGCTCATCCTAGATTACAATAACCTACATCAACAGGGTGAGTCACAACCCTAACCCTGTTTTGTGTGCATACCAATCTCATCTTGTTCAGGTTATAGTGTCAGAGGAATATCGTTTTTCAGATTTCTTAAGCGCATGGATATTGTATTACAACTATTTCTGATCATCCAATTATTATTATTCCATTATTCCTTGTCTGGCCTTTGGGTGCTTTGGAAAATAGTTTGACCCCTCCTCTCTGTGGCAGCCCATCAAATATTGGAACACCGCTATCATGTTTCCCCTGGTCCTTTTCTTCACTAGACTAGCCATGCCGAGTACTTGTAACCATTGTTCGTATGTTTTGCCTCCAATCCCCTTATCATCTTTGTTGCTCTTTTTTGCACACTTTCTAGAGTTTAACATCTTTTTAATAGTGTGGTGACCAAAGCTGGATGCAGTATTTTAGGTATAGTCTTACTAAGGCTTTATAAAGTGGTATTAGTACCTTATTTGATCTTGATTGAATTCCTCTGTTAATGCAGAAAGATGCTAATAGTTGGTTTAGCTGTAGACATCACCATCACCACTTTTCTCTTCAGCATGACCCCTGAACTGCCATTGCTCTTCCCCATAGTTGTGTCTTCAGTTCTGATTGTTTCTTTTCCCTAAGAGCTCAGTATAAAATGGTTCTGAAATAAATCTGCTCTACAGAACACAGAAGCAGAACAAGGAATGTTGAGCATCTTTACAATGCCAACTGAGGCCATATCTTTGATTGGCAATGGAAGCCAATGTCTTCGCAGATCTCTACAATGCTTTAGCACTGGTATTTGTCATGATGCCATGGTTGGTTGGGAACTAGAAATATTGTTTTCCCTTTCTGAATCAGACTGTTCTCTAATTAATGTTTCACAGCACACGCTGCTTTGACTGTTAAGTTTTAAGTTTTATTTAATTGTTTAAAAACACAGTTTGCAGGAGACAGCTAGAAAACACTCCGTTGGTGACAAAAGCCCACCTAAAAGTTTAGTGTTTTTGTTCCCATTAATGGGAACACATTTGAAAAAATAAAAAGAATCTAAATGGTGTTGACCAGTCTGTACTATTATGATGCAGCTGAACTATGTACCATTTGTACATCTTATTACAGTCTTCATAATAAATTAAAGTAACTTATGAAAAGTATCCCATCTACATTAACTTCCTTTCACAACTATCAGAGATGCTTCATAGATAAGGTCATTGTTTCACATTATACCTTTACTTTCAGTTTTTGAAACTGTTGTAAATTACTGCCCTTTAGAGAGAAGCAACATATTCAAATGTCCTGATGCCTTGGAACACTGCAGTAATAATGGCTTTGCTGTGTACTTCACATATTGCCCATATTTCCTTTTTGACATGTACAGTATTGTGAATTGTATTCCTTGTATCATTTATCTTACATCAGCCATAAGTGCCATGAACAGTTTTATTACAGACAGCTGTTGCATAGCCATCATTGGCAATTCAGCTCCTATCAATTTATGCTGTCATTACAGACTTTTGTCCAAGATTTATCCTACAGTTCTCACCTGGGAGATAGTTGTGCATAAAATATCTAAACCAATGTCATGATCCTTTGAGCGATCTGCTTCCAGTTCATATAAAATCTTGTTTTTTTCTGAACATTTTGGTCCTATCAAATATGAAAAATGAGATAGGCTAATGTTTATAAATATAAGCTTTCCCATGAATGCACACATCTACTTTAGAATATAAAATAATGAAGCCATGGTGATTTAGTGGTTAGAATGTAATACTGCAGGCTAACTTTGCCCACTGCCAGGAGTTTGATCCCAACTAGCTCAATGTTGACTCTCCCTCATTCCAAGGTCGGTAAATGTGGACCCAGATTATTGTGGTCAATATGCTGACATTGTAAAGCCCTCAGACAGTGTTGTAAAAATCTTAAGTGCTATTTCTAAGAGCTATTGCTATAATTTTCTTTTCGCAATGCAGAAAAATGAATAAAATCCAAAGTTATTCTGTGCTTTTCATCTGAGATCTATACATTTCTAACACCCCACAATTATCTAACAAGCTTATTCTAACATCATCAAATGCAATGATTTAAGGCTTTCGAGAACTGGAACAATCTTTGTTGTGCTGTACGCTGCCCAGATTCACTTTCCACGAGATGGACAGCCATACAAATTTGATTAATAAATAGTAATAAAAATCTCCTGAATCTCAGGTATGGCTTTGACCAATGAATTTGTTCAGAATCTTCCTCTAAGCCATATGACTGTGCTATGCAGTAGCAGGATTGTTACTGCACATTCTGTACAGTCATCCAGTCTGCATGTGATAGCTTACAGAGAATATAAAAGAGAATCTCCTAAAGCTTTACCTTAGCCATGTCTGACTTTCCTTCAACTTAGTCATATCAGATCAGGGATCAAGTAGAAACCTATCTCCGAGTCTGGGAAGCTTTATTGAGATGTACCATATGGGCAAGCTCAGAGAAGTACTTTACTACTACCAATGCCTACACTTAACTATGACATCTTTCTAGGCTTGGGCAGGACATAAGCACAATTTTCAGCACACACTGCCTTATTAATTGATTTCTGGTATATCCGAATTGGACTGTTGCTGTTGATTCTTATCCATAAAATCTTTTATAATTTGGATGCAGGGTTTTTGAGAGAGACGATCCTTTCCACCCAAAAATAAAGATTCATAATTTATATACATCTTCAACATTCTGTGCAACACTAAATAATTTAATTCATGAATTGATTTAAGTCTATGTTTAGTCTCTTCTGCGCCATGTTCTCTAGTGTTCTTCTCTTTTGTGAAAGCTATCAAGATAGTACACTAGCATTAAAATTGGCTGTCTGCATTTTCATCTCCATTCTGCTATGTGTCAGATGAGAGATTCTGTCTGCAAAAGGAGTGGGGTGAGGAGAGAAGCAGGCTAGAAAAATGCCTCTTTAGGTGCCAGATCATCTGCAATCAATTCTCCGAGCCCACAGAGCACTTGTAGGAATACAGAATTGGCACTAAAAGAGCCATTATCCCCTACTTTTTTCTTCCCATTTTCTTGCCACCCATGGTAAGAGATGCAGAAGACAGCAAAATATTATCTTCACAACACTTCTCTTGGTAGGTTAAGTGGAGGGAAGCAAGACAATGATCTGTGGTGGGCAGAAGATATTCTCCTGTGACAACAATCCCAATATGGGTATGTACGTTTGACACATGTCCACCTGATGGGCATTTATCAAACAGTACAACTTTCCAACCCTATGAATCAGACTCTCCTGGGTATTCTCTGCTAAGGCTGATGGATAGGCTTACCTATATCTGTAGTGGTGACATGCATACATGCATGCATAAAAACACACCTTTTATCATTTTCCCAAGCCCTGTAGTTTGGGGATCTGCTGCTAGGTCCAATGAAATTGTTAGGAAAACTGACAGAGTTGATTGTATGGCACAGTGAATGAGCCACAATTCTGCTGCCAAAAATGGTTGGCTGCAAAAACCATTGATTGCAGAGGCTGTGTTTGCCACTGTTCTGACCTAGGCTTTCCCAAAAAGCATGAGGCAGAGTCCTGGTCCCAACAAAACCCCTTTTATTAAAGGAATGTTAATTCCTCTCATTCATATTCAACGAGGCCTGGGAAAAAGTCTTTCGGAGGAATATTTATGACTAGAGACTTTATCAATCTTGGAAAGCTGCCATGTACATATTTTCCAAATGAGATGCTGTGCAAGGAAAGACTGGGCACAGAGTCTCTGATGTTCACGGACAGATCTTCACACTCCTGAAATGAATCAATGACCAAACAAACAATTGTTTCCTGCAAAAGCCCATTTCCCCTTCACTTTTTTATTTCCTATGGAAGGGCCAATCACTTTCCACCTGTGACTTTACTTCCAAGTCTACCTGGTTTCTGAGTTGTTTTTTTCTTCTGGCAGCTCTGTGCATGCACACACTGGGAACAGGCCTTAGCTGTTCCTCTGCCTCA